ATAGGGGCCGCCGGGGGTTGGCTGTCGTCGGCTGCAGCAGACGATAGCGGACGATAGCAGACGATAGGACCAGCTGGGAGCTGCCAGGATCCGCTGCATACGAAAACTGACGATAGCACGAAACCAGCTGTGGGGCCGGCAGGAGCCGCAAGGGGAAAACAGGAGGCAACAAGGCACTTGGGTGCAATCGTCTGCTATCGGCCTCTATCGTCTTCTATCGTCTGGCACCAAATAGCCGACAGCGTTTGCAACTACAATGTGTTTTTTGAGCCTTCTCGCTTTTTCGCTTCCGATGGGCTCTTGAGGCCTCAAGATGGGCCCAAGGTAGCCCAAGGGAGCCCCAAGAGGGGCTAAAGGGGGCCCCAAGATGGCCCCAAGAGCGCCCACGAGCGCTCCAAGAGCGGCCAAAGAGGGTCCCAAGACGCCCTTTTTAAGCCTCCGAGGGAGAGGACCTGAATTTGGGACATCCCTCTTTTTGAACAAATGGGGGCCAAGACGGCCCCAAGAGGCCTCCCATACCCCCACAAAGAACCCCAAGAGGGCAGGAAGACACCCAAAAAGAGCCCCACCCCAAGAGAACCCCAAGAGACCCCCAAGATGGTTCCAAGAGACCTCCGAGAAAACGCGTCCGAGGCGATTGTTACACAGCCTGCTTCCACCATCACTGTCAGCACCATCAGCAGCACCAGCAGCAGCAGCAGCAGCAGCAGCACCACAACCACCACTACCAGCACTAGCAGCAGCGGCAGCACCAGCAGCACCACCACCATCACCAACACTAGCAGCAACACCAGCGGCACCAGCAGCACGAGAACCGGCAACAGCAGCAGCAACAGCAGCAGCACCAGCAGCAGCAGTACCAGCAGAGGCAACAGCACCGCCAGCAGCACCAGCACCCTTCGCTACCAGTGATATCCCAATTCACCGTTGTTGCCCGCGCTGTTTCACTATATACGTCTCTCCCCCCCTTCTCCCATCAGCTCTCCTGGGCATCGTTCCTGGATGGGCTGGTGGGAATACTTTTTTGGTCGGCGGCCGCGCGACGACGGTCTGGCGGCGAGAGGCAATGTCCAGGGCGGGCGGCACAAAGCTAATTGCACTCAGATCGTGCAGTTGCACATGCACTGAACAAAATGCACAGCATTCACCAGCAGAGCTGGTGGGAATACTTTTTGGTCGGCGGCCGCGCGACAACGGTCTGGCGGCAACAACGATGTCCGGGACTACGGAACACGGCAAATTACACGCGATGCGTGGAATGCACATGCACTGAGCAAAATGCTCTGCATTAAAGCAAACGCACATAGGCGCCGGCCACACACTGGTGGGAATACTTTTTGATTCGCGGCCCGCATGGAGAAGTCCAGAGGGCGGTATGACCGAGGCTGGGGCACAGCGACAGATAATTGGCGCGACACCGCGCAGAGTACTGGTGGGAATACGCGAAGCGTCAAGAAATTGCCCTCCAGAGGCCTCCGAGAATACTCTGAAGAGGCCCGAAAAAAACATCCCCGAGGACTTTGGCCCACAACCCGAACACTGTGGCGGGGTGGGACAAAGCCCATTGGGATGATCATGAACATCATCAGCATCGTTGTCACCGGCATCTTCGACCACATCATGGGCAGCATCACTGTCATCAGTATCCACACCAACAACACATGCATCAACATCGTAAGCGTCAACATCCCATCAGCATCAACATCCGCATCGAGGAAGCCAAACTTACCATCAACAGCATCCTTGTCACCACTACCCACACCAACAACATGCGCATTGTCATAGTGAGCGATCACCTTAACCAGCATCAGCGTCCAAACAAATCGCCAGACACATCATTATCGTGAACGTCGCCATCTGCAGCATCCGAGTCATCATCGTGTTCCTCATCAGCATCATCGAAATCATTATCACAACTATCAGCACCATCATCATCATCATCATCATCGTCATCATCATCATCATCGTCATCATCATCAACATCATTATCACAGCCACAATCGTAACAATGAGCCTCATCAGCAATACCCCCGTCGACAGAATCATCGCCACGATCGTCCAAACCCTCCTCATCGTCATAAGCAGAAACTTCGGCCTCATCATCATCGGTGTCGCCATCATCATCATCATCATCATCATCATCATCATCATCATCATCATCATCATCGTCGGCATCACCACCACGAACACAGGATCTCCGGGGACCTCCGGGAACCTTCGTGGATCTCTGGGGGTCGAAGACCAGGGCGGGAGCAAAACTTACCATCAACAGCTAACTTGTCACCACTATCCACACCAACGACATGCGCATTGTCGCAATAAGCGCCATCACCCTAATCAACATCAACGTCCAGAAGTAAATCACCAGAACATCATTATCGTGAACGCCGCCATGTGCAGCATCCAAGTCATCATCGTACTTGTCATCATCGCCCAAATCAGTATCGCAATATCATCGCCACCATCGTCACAATCAAAATCGTTACAATGATCGCCATCAACATATCCCCCGTCGACGGAGTCATCACCGCGATCGTACAAACCATCCTCATCATCATAAGCACACGCTTCAGCCTCCTCATCATTATCATGTTCGTCGTCGTAATCATCATCGTTTTGGGCATCACCACAACGAACACAATCAGCATCATCATTACCATCGTCGTCGTTACGATTATCTTATGCCTCATCATTAATTATCATATACTTATTTCCCTCCCTTCCTCCTCACCAACACCATTCATGCTGTCGTCCTCCTCATCACTCTTCAACAACTAGCGCATTGCCATAATAAGGGCCATCACCCTGATCAGCATCAACGTTCAAAAGCAAGGCACCCGAAACATCATTATCGTGAACGCCGCCATCTGCAGCATCCAAGTCATCATCGTACTCATCATCATAATCATGATCCAAAGCGGGCATCTCAACATCAGCACCACCATCATCATCATAACCAAACTCGTTACGATGATCGCCATCAACATGTCCCCTGTCGACGGAATCAGCACCACGATCGTACAAGCCATCCTCATCATCATAAGCGCACTCTTCAACCTCATCATTATCATCGTCGTCGTCATCATCATTATCATGGGCATCACCACCACGAGCACAATCAGCATCATCATTACCATCGTCGTCGTTATGGTCATCATCTCCCTCATCATTACGATGGTCCTTATAACATGCTATTCTCTACCTGCTTCCCTCTCTTCCCCCCCACCATCACCAATCATTTTGTTGTCATCCTCCCCACTTCTCCAACAACGGGCGCATTGCAATAATAAGCGCCATCACCCTGATCAGCATCAACGTTCAAAAGCAAAGAACCATAACATAATTATCGTGAACGCCGCCAGCTGCAACATCCAATTCATCATCGTACTCATCATCATCATCATAAACATCATCATCATCATCATCATCATCATCATCATCATCATCATCATCATCATCATCATCATTATTATCCAAATCCTTATCTCAATACCAACATTATCAACAATACAATCAAGATCGTCGGGTGATCCGGGAGTCCGGTGAGTCCGGGAGTCCGGTGGGTCCTGCGAGTCCGGTGAGTCCGGCGAGTCCGGTGGGTCTGGTGGGTCCAATGGGTCCAGTGTGTCCGGTGTGTCCAGTGTGTCCGGTGTGTCCGGTGTGTCTGGTGTGTCCGGTGTGTCCGAGGCATTCGGTATGTCTGGTGTGTCCGATGTGTCAGGTGGCCGGCGTGTCCGGTGAGTCCGGCGCGGTGGCTTGAGCAGCAGGCAGGACCATTCTGGGCTCGGATGCATCCCTTCTCGAAATGCGTGCATTTCGAACTCCGAAGGTCTCGAACCACGGAGTCGTAGCAAGCCCGCCCTTGAAGTCCGAGCTTCTGCCCTGGGAGACGGCGCGGCGACCTGGCCGAACCTTCGTGCAGCAAGATCTCGATGAGCTGGGGGGAAGTGCTGGCGAGGGAGACGGTCACCTCGAGGTCATTCTACAGAAGCGCGAAAGAAGGCATCGACCAACCGATGCGGAACGGGGAGAAGCACGCGGCGCCCATGGGTCCTCTGACCTGCTTTTCAGACACTGGCGGGCTGACACGGACACTGTCCCAGGCATCGCGCAGAGTGGCAAATCCTAAAGCAAACGGCGTCTGCTGAACTTGGGCGCCCCTGATTTCCCTAGGGTATCTGGAGATCGGAGCAATGGCTGCACGGTGGAGCGGGTCATTCTCCAAAGTACCCAAACTGGCCAGGGACACGGCCATTTCCCAAAGACGGCGCGCAACAAACCCATTTCGTAATCCGAGGTCCCGAAAACTGAAAAACCGTAAGTAACCGAGGCCAGCGGTGCAGAAAAAAATCCTCCTGGAGAATCGCTCCAAAGCTGGTCGGCACCTGACCACTCGTTTCACCCTCTGACGGAAAACGTGAAGTCGTGCAGCCGCTTTCTTACCTCGACCTTTGGTGCGACGGGCCTGCCCAGCTCCATTGTCGATGCCTAAATTGACGGCCGTGTGAACTTGATCTCCTGGGACGCCGTGAGCGCCGCAGAATTTCTTCAAAGCGAGCCCGGCCAATTTGGCAGAGGCCACCACTGCAGCCTTATCAGGAGAGATACGAGATTCCATATCGTCCTCCGGGGCCAGGTCCAGGGAGGTGGAGGCCTGCTTTAACGACGACACGACCGACTGCCCAGAGCCACTGCTGGAGAGACAATCATCGTCGATGTAGATGTCTAGCTGGACCTGGTAAGGGAGCCTCATGGGGTCCATAGTCGGGATGACGTAGACCCTGAAGAATGACGCGGCGTATCCACATCCAGCCACCACCCGGTGCTCACAAAAATGAGGCCCGTGGAACATACCACCCAAATACATAAAGCGGGCTCCACGGTAGGCCCTGACAGCAACCTTGTAGATCTGCTGGGGGAAATTAATGGCCTCGCAGCTGTCAATCATGTCGAATCGATTGGCGGTAGACGACTTCCAGAACGGAGTTGAAACCGCCCGCGGCGAGGTGCGTTCTCTGATTCCCGGCTTCCCAGCGCTGAGCGCAAGGTCTCCGGGCGCGAGCCCGCAGTCTGTAAAAAACAAAGAAAAGGCCGATGGGCCTACACCGTCCCGCGGGCTTCGCAAGGGGCAGGGCGATGATGGCCTGGGTCTGGTGGGGCGTGAGCCCCGCGCGCACAGTCGCGTGGAACGTGGCGCACGCTGCGGAGAGCTCTGGCTGCACAAGGAAAAAATTGCGCATGTGGGAGCCATCCACGCAAGAGGCAGCACCTGGAGCATATGACTCACTCACAGCGATCAGGTCCTCGGAGTAAAGCGGCCCGATCCCTTCCAATTGCTCGATAGGAAGCCCCCCGGACTCGGGAAGCTGCAACTTCGAATTCCAGAGCTTCCCGGAACGCGCGCCCTCGGCCTGGGGCAGGGGGGAAGGGGTCCGAAAGGGCCGTGCCCTCCGCGGAAAGTGTAGGTCGAAGCAACCCGCGGCATCAGCTCCCTGGTCCAGCGGTGCGCATTCGTTCCGCCCCTGTCGATTCCATCCAAGAGCCACTTGCGCCGAGCTTTCAATGGCCGCTGCGAGGAAGACCTAGGACATTCTTCTTATCTGGATTCAAGAACAGCTTGAAATTCGAGCGGGCCTCCAGGATCTCCGCGAATGCCCCCAATCCCAGAAGCCAAATCCAGACGTGGCTGATCAAACTCCAGGAGCTCCCCCAAAGACTGGAAGATGCTAGGAAGGCGGGCCCTGATGATGGGGGCGATGTCGGTTGAACGCGCCGACGTTGCTGTCGGCCATAGCGCCCAAGATGAACCTGGCAGTCCGAGAGAGCCATCTAGCCGAAAACAATTCATCCAGGGTACCTGTAGGAAAAATTGGGGCTCCGATCGAGGGCCGAAGTTTAAACCGGGCGGGGTCGTCTACCCCTGGCGCCCCAAATAGAAGGGCCCTTCTGGAGGACCTGGGATGATTCACATTCGGCCGCGTCGGCCCAAAACCAATATAGAACGCCCAGGTGGCGCTGCACCTTGCCGCGAGTGGCCTTGCGGGAGGTCGCTTCCATGCTAATGCGTAATCCAAGACAGCGCTGTGATCGGCAGGTTGAGACTGCGGACCCATCGGGCGTTCTTCGGGCAGCTTGGGGGGGCTCGAGGAAAGTGAGGGCCTCGCGCTCAGCCGGCCGTGAGTGAAAGAGACAGACTGGGGTGTGAGTCCTGATGTCCGTGCCGATCACGGGCTCCGCGGCCTGTAGGCAACGCGCGAGGCCTGACCGATGCAATGAGGGCCTTCGTACTCGCCGTGCCGCGCTCCGACTTCGGCGAGGACACTGAGGTTCCTATCTGAGAGATCCTCGCAATCGCAAAGGCAAACCGAAGTGAACGAGGTTTGGGGCGCTCCAGGGACCGACGCGATACCGCTGAGAGCCATGTGGGGGGCGGCGACAGCATCAAAATCAGGATCGTGAACTCCAAGGTGCTGCCGAACGAATATAGCCACCCCAGCAGACGTTCCCCCTTCCCTAGTTCTGAGGGCGGGGGCGCACCGAGCTTTCCAACCCCTCTTCAATGCCCATTGTCCTGAATTCGCTATCTCGTCAATGGTAACGAGTCGATGCTCCCGGGCCAAGAGAACGTGCGAAGTCGAGGTAGTGGCCCAGGGCTCCACGGAAGACCGCGCCGTACAACTGATCGTTTCAACCACTAACTGGAACGTGCATGCAGGGCAAGGAGGCAATGAAAGGAAATTGGCTGAGTCGGAAGGGGGCGCTCCCTCCGTTGGGGGCCTGGGTAACTTGCGGGTCCTCTGGCTGAGGTCAGCTGAGCAGCGCTAGCGCGACAGCCCCCCGCCCGCCTGGGGAGACTTAAAGTGGTGACGGGATTCCGAAACAGAAAAACGAAAAAAACCCTTCCTGCCGAGTGACCACGAGTCACACGGCACTCCCCACGACGACCAATCAAATGCCATCGGCAGGGGGGACTGGAAGCTGCTTCGCGGCCACAGCGGCCTCCTTGGCAATGCGAGCGGCGTCCGCCCGCACACCGGCGAGCAAAGCCCCCCCTGCTGCCGAGTCGGCAACTGGAGCCGCGGGCCCGGGGTTCCCCCCAGTTCCCTCAGAGGACCTCGATGCTCTAGCGCTCCCCGATGAAGGCGGCCCACCAGCAACAGCGGCGTCAGCAGCGCCAGCAGAGGCCTGGCGTCGTTGGTCTTGCGCTTCTTGTCCGACAAGCGCGTGACCAGTGCGCGGTGGGCCTCCTTGGCGTTCTTGACGGTGTCGGCTGCGGACTGGAAAAGCTTCCTGGCCTTGGATTGGAGCACGGCGACGAAGCGAGCCCGCCTGGCGTTGAGCTCGTTGATGTCATCCTGCTCCACCAGCAGCGTGGAACCGTCCACATCGAAGGTGCTCCCGAAATCGATGTCGAAAGCGTCCACCGAGCCTGCCAGGAGCGCGTCCAAAGAAATGGACGGCGCAACCGATTCTCTGGGGCCTCCCCGCTTGGCCACGTTG